TGGCGGGGGGGGGCTGATCTTAGTCTGGGTCTGTGCAGCGCCCGGAGTGACAGGGCTCTGATCTTGGGTAACAAAGATGGGACAGACGTATGTAGACGGGCAGCTTTCTCCTCAGGGATCCTACTCTAAAGGGTGCAGGACTGGCGGGCCATCAAGAGCCCTGGCTCTGGTTGGTTTGGGACGTGCAGAGGGGAGAAGGGAAAATCCCGTGTCTGAGACTGTCAGGGCAGAGCTGGTGGCAGGGGTGGGATAAGCTGCGGGGCGTGGAATATCTCAGCCCTGTAATGAAGCGTTAACTGGGGTCGTTTGCATTTAATTTCCCTAGGATTTTCTATTTGTCAGCCTGGCCATGCAGGCTCTCAGCTCCCCCAAAGGGCGGCTGAGCCCTGTTTCATAAGAGGGGAGGTTCACCCGTATACGGGGCCCGCATGCCCCCCAGGACTCCTGGGTTCCATTCCTGCCTCTGGGGCTTGATTCCCAGCCCCCTGCCGCTCTAACCACTAGACACCACTCCTCTCCTGGTGCCAGGGAGAGAACCCAGGAGTCCGGGCTCCCAGCCCTCCCCAGTTCCCACTCCCCTCCCAGAGCCGGGGAGAGAACCCTGGAGTCCGGGCAGAGCAGGGGGAGGGGACAATGCAGGAGGCTCAGTGAGGGAGGGGGGCAAATCCTGGGGGTGAATTCCTGGGGCTGGGGGCAAATCCCAGCGGGAAGGGGGGTAAATATCGCGGGGGGGGGGAATCCCTGGGAGGGGGGAATCCCCAGGGAACAGGGGGCGGACGCAGCAGAATCCACCGGGGAAGGAGGGGGAGGAGGGAGGAGCCGCCGCCGGACGCGGCCGAATCAACCCAGCCGCTGGGAGGGGCCAGGAGCAGGGAGCGAGCGCTGGGCTATACCAAGTGCCCGCACGGGGGCGCGTCAGGGCTCCCCCTTCGCGCGCTGGTTTCTCTCACCAGCTCGGGCAAGGGACAAAATTCATCGTGCCAACGCGCGGTGGCTGTTCTTTCTATGCGTCCATCCCCGCCCCCCCCCCGCCGCAGCTCCCAGCAGCAGGCTGTTCCAGGCTCGGTCTCCCCTCCCAGGCCAGGGTCTCTCATGAACCACGGGGCTGTGCAGCAGGATGGTTTGTTGATGGTGGAGTATCTGGGCATCCCAGTTTGTTTATTGTAGGGTCTCCTGTGCATGCTGGGGCTGCAAGGTCTCGTTTGTTTATTGTAGGGTCTTCCGTGACCACTGGGGTCACACGGGCTCGTTTGTTTATTGTAGGGTCTCCTGTGAGCACCAGGGCCGCAGAGCCCTGTTTGTTTACGGTAGGGTCTCCTGTGAACACTGGTATGTTTGTTTACGGTAGGGTCTCTCACGTGCCCTGGGGCTACAGACACTAATGTGTTGTCTGTTGGCTCTCTCCGGGGCTATGCACGCTCCCTTGCTCCGTGGAGGGTGACTGGGCAGAGTGGTTTGTTTATTGCGGGGTCTCTCCAGAGACCTTGGTTTGCACCGCCTAGGGTTATTGCTGTAGGGTTGCTTATGAGCGCTGGGCGGCCGGGCATGCTGTTTATTCTGGGGTCTGCCCTGAGAACTGACACTGCACAGGCTGGCTTATTATCGTAGGGTTTCCCTCTGCTCAGTGGCTTTGGCTCGACATTTTATTTTAATTTCTGTCAGAAAAGATCATTGAGGGAGCAGGAAATACAGAAAACAGCCTGTGGTGGGGGGCGGGGGGAAGAGAAGGGTTAACTCCCAGCACCCCGCTCTCACCGCTAGACCCCACTCCCCTCCCAGAGCCAGGGCGAGAACCCAGGAGTCCTGGCCCCCGGCTCTAACCCATTAGAGCTCCCAAGCCAGCTGCTTCCTGAAAAGTAAAAAAACGCAGGATTGGGAGCAGGGGAGCAACGATGTGAAACCCTGGAGATCGGGCTGATTGCTGGAGGAGGCCCCTGGCTGGCCAGTGACCAGGGCTTCCTTGACAAGATAGGGGGACTCCATGGCGTGGGAGTTCTGCCCACGGTGACTGTCACCGCCCAAAATGGCTGAAAGGAGGGAAGAGTTCAGCGCTACTGTAATTACACCGCAAGGGCAAAGGAAGGGGGTTGGGAGCCAGGACGCCTGGGTTCTCTCCCCAGCTCAGGGAGGGGAGTGGGGTCTAGTAGTTAGAGCAGGGGGCTGGGAGCCAGGACTCCTGGGCGCTGTTCCTTTCCCTCCCCCCTCCATCATGGCATCGGTTGCCAGCTGGCAAATCTCTCCCTCCCAGATATAATCAGCCCCCAGCAGGAGTTACCGTCTCATCACACCCAGCGGCTCGGGCTCCTCAGCCCTGCACCCAGCCATGTTATTGCCACAGCAGGTTCCCAGCCTGCTCCCGGGGGCCCCAAATCACCCCCCTGCCAGAGCCCACACAGGCCTAGTAGCCAGGAGGGAATGATTGCCTCATGCCCCCTGGGAACCCAACAGGCAATGGGTCTGCACAGAATGCACTCATCTCTAGAGAACCCAGGAGTCCTGGCTCCCAGCCCCCCTGCTCTGACCATGAGATCCCACTCCCCGCCCAGAGCCGGGGAGAGAACCCAGGAGTCCTGGCTGGCAGGCCTGCCACACCCTTTTAACGACTGGAGCTCACACCCAGTACTTAGAGCCAGGGGCCGGGCTTGGAGTCCTGACTTGTGCCCTGGGAACGAAGTCCATATGGCCAAGACAATAAACAATGTCGTCACTTCTCCCCCCCTCCCCATATCCCTATCCCGACCCCCGGCGCTGAGCTGCTTCGTGGGTTTCTAACCCTCTCCCAGGTGGGCTGCGGGCGCCTGTCCCGGAGGAAAGGGCTGGCAGGAGAAGGGTTAATCTCAGCTGCTTCTTTGGCAAAGGGCAGAGACCAGCTGGACAAGAATCTATAGGGACAGTTAAAGTCCCCTGGTCCTTGCCCACTGCCCCCCACCCTGCTCTGACCACTAGACCCCACTCCCCTCCCCGAGCTGGGGAGAGAACCCAGGAGTCCTGGCTCCCAGCCCTGCCCCTGGCTCTCGCCCCTTCACCCCTCTGCCTTAACAGAGCCCTGGGGAGAGAGCCCAGGAGTCCTGGCTGCATACCCCACCCCACCCCTTTCCGCTAGGTGATGCGGCCTCCCCTATATCTGGCATTTGTAGGGTTAATAAGATGAACAGGAAATGAAACTACCAGCCCGGGAGCTGTCCTGCAGGATGGACCAATCAGGATAGGGATTGCGACCTTCATTTGCATATTTAAAGGGGACTCGATCTGTAGCTGTGGGCCCAGTGTTGTACCCTCTTCCATGTGTTTGCTAATTGTCCTTGGAAGACCCTACAGCAACAAAGCAGTGCAATTAACAGGTTGCAGGGGTAAATCTTTACTGTGTGTGGGTGTGTGTTTCCAAAGAGGCTGACCTGTGAGTGCTTGTGTCTTGTTCTCGGTGCACCTGGGGTATGCCAGCGGGACTGTAGCCCAGTGTGGCTGCATGTGTGTGTGTAAGTGTAACCCTGTGTACATTGTGAGACAGAGAGGGGGACTCTGGATATGTGTGTAACCCAGTGTGTGTTGCATTGTATCTCTGTGTGTGCGCGCACGTGCCAGGGCTGCTGTGTGTATAATTGTATTCCAGGGAGAGTGTGTATCTATGAGAGGGACTTGTGTGTGTATCTGGAACCCTGTGTATAATTATATCCCTGTGTGTACATGTGTGGCACTCCATGTCTCTGCGCACGTGTCTCTGTGTGTGGGTGTTACCCTTCCCTAGTGTCTGTGTATGTGTGTGTGTTACCCTTCCCTAGTGTGTGTGTATTTGTGTGTGAATCTGTTTGTGTTACCCTTCCCTAGTGTGTGTGTATGTGTATCTGGAACCCTGTGTGTAATTATATCCCTGTGTGTACATGTGTGGCACTCCATATTTCTATGCACGTGTCTCTGTGTGTGGGTGTTACCCTTCCCTAGTGTGTGTATCTGTTTGTGTTACCCTTCCCTCGTGTGTCAGGGGCATCTCTATGTCCACGGACCCAGCTTCCCCCCCCCCCGTGCAGCTGGCCCTTTAAGGGCTCCAGGCTCCCTGTCCCCGCCCCCTCCCGTCCTCCCCAACCCCTGGCATTTAAAGGGCCCGTCCCCGCAGCTGGCACCAGCGTAGCGCCCGCTGCCCCGGCCATGTGGCTGTCCCGGAGCCGCCCTGCAGCGGCCGCTGCCCGGCGCGCCCTGGCCCTGAGACCCTACTGCACCCGCCGCGCCCAGCGCCAGGGGCTGCTCTTCCGGCAGGTGAGCCCCGGGCCGGGCCTGGGGGCTGCGAGCCAGGACTCCTGGGTTCCCTCCCTGGCACTGGGAGGGGAGTGGGGGCCAGGACTCCTGGGTTCCCTTCCTGGCACTGGGAGGGGAGTGGGGGCTGGTGGTTAGAGCAAGGGGGGCTGGGAGCCAGGACTCCTGGGTTCTCCCCACAGCTCTGGGAAGGGAGTGGGGTCTGGTAGTTAGAGCGGGGGCGGGTCTGCGAGCCAACTCCTGGGTTCCCTCCCTGGCACTGGGAGGGGAGTGGGGGCTGGTGGTTTGAGCTGGGAGCCAGGACTCCTGGGTTCTCTCCACAGCTCTGGGAAGGGAATGGGGTCTGGTAGTTAGAGCGGGGGCGGGTCTGCGAGCCAGGACGCCTGGGTTCTCTCCCTAGCTCTGGGAAGGGAGTGGGGGCTGGTGATCAGAGCAGGGGGGCAGGGCTGGGAGCTGGAACTCCTGGGTTCTCTCCCCAGAAGAACGCGCTCTGGCAGTCAGGAAATCCCAGCCCGCCTTATTGCTGGTCTGATCAGATCCTTGGTGCTGTAACTTCCCCGCCCTGCTTGCGGGGCTCCTGACTTCCTGTCCCGCTCGCAGGGTAAAGGGAGCCTGGAGCTGGGAATGACTGATGGGGCAGGAGGGATAGCACCAGATCCATGGGTAGAACCCAGGAGTCCCGGCTCCAGCCCCCTGCTCTAACCACTAGACCCCACTCTCCTGCCGGTGCTAACTGGATCTCCCCTCCACAGCTCTTTGAGCCCGTGAGCTGCACCTACACCTACCTGCTCGCGGATCGGAAGACCAAGGAGGCGGTTCTGATCGACCCGGTTCTGGAGACGGCCAAGCGGGACGCGGAGCTGGTGAGGGAGCTGGGCCTCAACTTACTGTACGCAGGTGAGAGCAGCCCTGGAAGGCAGGTGGAGAATGGGGCACGGGGCCTTTCCCCTCTCGGGGGCACCGGCCCTGATCCGGCCCCAGGGCAGGGACCGGCTGGCTCAGGGGGTGGAGAATGGGACACGGGGCCTTTCCCCTCTCGGGGGCACCGGCCCCGATCCGGCCCCAGGGCAGGGACCGGCTGGCTCAGGGGGTGGAGAATGGGACACGGGGCCTTTCCCCTCTCGGGGGCACCGGCCCTGATCCGGCCCCAGGGCAGGGACCGGCTGGCTCAGGGGGTGGAGAATGGGACACGGGGCCTTTCCCCTCTCGGGGGCACCGGCCCCGATCCGGCCCCAGGGCAGGGACCGGCTGGCTCAGGGGGTGGAGAATGGGGCACGGGGCCTGTCCCCTCTCGGGACAGGGATCTGGATGGGGACTGTCCTGTTGTGGAAGGGAATGGGGTCAGGGCCGTTCCCCTTTAAGGGGCGCCGGTTCAGATCCAGCCCCAAGGCAGGGACTGGCTGGCTCAGGGGGTGGAGAATGGGGAAAGGCCCCATGTCCCTCTAGAGGGCATCGGCCCCGATCCGGCCCCAGGGCAGGGACCGGCTGGCGGGGCGGGTGGGGAGCGGGTCAGGTTCCCATCTGTAAATCCCTGGTTCTGCTCTGCGCAGCCAACACCCACTGCCATGCAGACCACATCACGGGCACCGGGCTGCTGAAGACGATGCTCCCAGGCTGCCGCAGTGTGATCTCCCAGGACAGCGGGGCCTTGGCCGACATCCTCCTCCGCGAGGGCCACGCCCTGGAATTCGGGGCCTTCGTAAGTCACCTGGGCACTGGGGCTGGGAGCCCGGACTCCTGGGTTCTCTCCTTGGCTCTGGGAGGGCAGGGGGGTCTAGTGATTACAGCATGTGTTTGTGGAGGGAGGGGGACTTGGGAGTCGGGACTCCTGGGTTTCTCCCCAGAGCTGGGAGCTGAGTGGGGTCAGAACAGGGGGGTTGTGAGGCAGGATTCCTGGGTTCTCTCCATAGTTCTGGGAGCAGAGCAGAATGGAGTCAGAGTAGGGGGCTGGGAGCCAGGACTCCTGGGTCCCATGAAGAGGTCATGTCGCTGGCTCCCCCTGTCTGCAGGCCCTGGAAACCCGCTCCACCCCCGGACACACGGACGGCTGCCTGACCTACGTGCTCAGTGACAGGACCATGGCCTTCACCGGGGACGCCCTGCTGATCCGGGGCTGCGGCCGCACCGACTTCCAGCAGGGTGAGCTGCGAGCTGGGGTGATGGGGGGGGGGGGTTCTTGGAGGGCTGGTGAATGGTTACCGTGGGGACAAGACGGTGCATCCCTTTGATATGATGGTGACCGCCATGGCTATGGTGACAACCGCTGGGCATGACCTGCTGGTGCCATGGTGAGGGGTGGGAGGGGGGGTGCATTATCTCTTGAACATGATTGGTAGTTGCCATGGAGATGGAGGGAGCATCTCTGGGTTCACCTCCTAGTCGCCATAGCCCTGGGGAACATGGCTGCTGGTTGCCAAGGTGATGGCAGTGGGTGCTGGGGCGATGATGGGGGTGCCATGCCAGGGAGCTTTGGCCAGGTAGTGCCAGGGGTGGCTGGGGTGCCATGCCAGGGGTTGGCTGTGTCCCTCACCCCATGGTAACCAGGCCCCACTTCTCTCCGCCCCCCCAGGCTCCCCGGAGACCCTGTACCGCTCTGTGCACGAGAAAATCTTCACGCTCCCCGGAGACTGTCTGATCTACCCCGCCCACGACTACACGGGTGAGTCCGAGCGCGGCGCTAGGGGGCGCTGTGCTGCAGGGGGCAGGGCTCAGTGGGGCAGTCAGGGCTGGCCCCGATGCCCCAGCCCGGCACTAGGGGGCGCTGTGCTCCAGGGAGCCGGGTGGGGGGCCCGCAGGGGTGGGGGCTCCCCCTGCTGGTGCTGTTTCTCACCTGCCCCCTGGCGCCCCCTGCAGGCCAGACGGTGTCCACGGTGGAGGAGGAGAGGACCCTGAACCCCCGACTGACCCAGAGCTGCGAGGCCTTTGTCCAGCTGATGAACAGCTTGAACCTTCCTCAACCCCAACAAATTGGTGAAGCTGGGAGCCAGGACGCCTGGGTTCTCTCCATGGGCTGGGAGGGAGAAGGGTTCATAGAATCATAGAATATCAGGGTTGGAAGGGACCCCAGAAGGTCATCTAGTCCAACCCCCTGCTCGAAGCAGGACCAATTTCCAGTTAAATCATCCCAGCCAGGGCTTTGTCAAGCCTGACCTTAAAAACCTCTAAGGAAGGAGATTCTACCACCTCCCTAGGTAACGCATTCCAGTGTTTCACCACCCTCTTAGTGAAAAAGTTTTTCCTAATATCCAATCTAAACCTCCCCACTGCAGCTTGAGACCATTACTCCTCGTTCTGTCATCTGATACCATTGAGAACAGTCTAGAGCCATCCTCTTTGGAACCCCCTTTCAGGTAGTTGAAAGCAGCTATCAAATCCCCCCTCATTCTTCTCTTCTGCAGGCTAAACAATCCCAGCTCCCTCAGCCTCGCCTCATAAGTCATGTGTTCCAGACCCCTAATCATTTTTGTTGCCCTTCGCTGGACTCTCTCCAATTTATCCACATCCTTCTTGAAGTGTGGGGCCCAAAACTGGACACAGTACTCCAGATGAGGCCTCACCAATGTCGAATAGAGGGGAACGATCACGTCCCTCGATCTGCTCGCTATGCCCCTACTTATACATCCCAAAATGCCATTGGCCTTCTTGGCAACAAGGGCACACTGCTGACTCATATCCAGCTTCTCATCCACTGTAACCCCTAGGTCCTTTTCCGCAGAACTGCTGCCTAGCCATTCGGTCCCTAGTCTGTAGCTGTGCATTGGGTTCTTCCGTCCTAAGTGAAAAATAAAGCAGGACCAATCCCCAATTTTTGCCCCAGACCCCAAATGGCCCCCTCAAGGATTGAACTCACAATCCTGGGTTTAGCAGGCCAATGCTCAAACCACTGAGCTATCCCTCCCCCCTCAGGGTTGGTGGGTTAGAGCAGTGGGGGGCTGGGAGGCAGGACGCCTGGGTTCTCTCACGGGGCTGGGAGGGGAGTGGGGGGTCTAGTGGTTAAAGCGGGGGGGTGGAGTTATCCCAGTTGAGGGCTGGCAGGGGGCGTAGATGAGGCCAGGGCCCCTATCGCTCTGTCTAATGTGTCTGTTTTTTCATCCTCTGCAGATTTTGCTGTCCCAGCGAACCTCAAGTGTGGGATACAGGATGCAGCGACTTAGCCCAGCCCTCTTTCTCTAATGCCCCGCCCCCTTGTATTAAGCCCCACCCACCTCATCATAGGGCACACCCTCTCATTGACCCTTATGATGATGGAAGGTCCTTTGGCCTGGGGCTGGCTGTCCCTGACTCTCACTCTGGTCCCTCCCTTAAGCGAAATCTGGGGGCTCCCTGTTTGGGGTCCTGAGTGGGAGGGTGCATCCCTTGACTGGGGAGGGGGTTAATGATCTTCAACCATGGCAGCTTCCCGACCCCCCCTCCCCTCCCCTCCCCACCCAGTCTAGCATTAGGGAGTTTGCACCTTCCTCTGCATTCACTGTGGGGTGGGAGCTTCCTGCTAGCCTCCCCTGGGGAGCAAAGCCCCCCCCCCTTCCCTGAGCCTGGTGTGCAGACAGCAGGGAACCCCTGCAGCCAGCATTAGGGTCTGAGAGAGGCCCCAGGCCCCCATATTCTGCATTTGAATAACGGGGTGCCTGGGCGGACCCTGCTCAGTTCTGTCAGGCCCTGCTTCCCACCCTGTGCCTGAACTGGGGGGTCCCACCCACACTGCAGGGCTCCCTCCACTTGCTGTTTGCACCAGCTGGACTGCCTCTGCTCTGTGGGGCGTCGGCACCCGTGGGCCTAGAGCTGGGAGCGGGTGTTCCCCACTCTGGGCTGGAAGGGGGGGGCCCTCTTTATGAATGGGGCTCAGTCTTGGGGAGGGAGGGGGTTGGAAATGAACCACTGCTGAGAGAATAAAGTTGTGCTGGACCCAGCGGAATCGCGTTTGCTTCCCAAGGCGGGATGCTGGGTGAGATGGGCCCATGGGGCCAGCGTGTTACTGCAGTTGCCCACTAGAGGGTGCTGCTCCCTCACTTTCCCAGGCCTGTTCCCGGGGTTTGCTCTCCCCCATAGACCCCAGGGGGCCCAGACCCCCTCACCTCCCGCCCCAGGAATAGCTGCAGGAGCCTGCACGTGGCCTTGGCCTAGAGAAAGGGCAAGAGGGAAGGAGAATTGGCTTCCCCCCCCCCCACCCCTGAGAGCTGAACTCGCCACCCCCCCCCCATTCCTTCCTTCCTCCTGTCCTGCTAGTTCTTTCCTTTTCCCTTCCTTCCTCTCTAGGGAGGGGTAAACCCCGGCCACAACCCCCCACTGCTTAAAAAGGGAGCCCCCCATCCCTCGGTCTGTTCCCACCCACCCTGACCCCTGCAAACAGGCTCAGCCAGCTGGACACCACCTCGGAGCCAGGCGCAACGCTGGTGGGGCTCCATCCCAGCTGGAGGGGGAAGGTCTTTCTGCCCAGCGAACTCCACAGGGTTGGGATGGAGCCACCCCAGACACCCCCCTTCAATAAGGGGTGCTGCCCCTTTAAGGCTGCAGCCCTGAAAGAAAGGAAGTGTGGGAGATGTAGTCCCCGGGGTCGATGGGTGTTGTAAGCTGGGCAGCAAGGCATGCTGGGAAGGGACCAGGGCTATAAAAGGGGCTCCCTTTTCGGCTACCAAGAGGAGGGTCCGGGTAAATATGGGGGGTTGGACACCTTAGCTAGCCAGCCGCTGCGAGACACTCCTGGGGCAACTGGGCACCACTGCGCATGTGCAGAATTTGGGGTGTCCCCCCCCCCCCCAGCTTTTCTGTGTTTCCCTGCAGAATACGAGATGCCGCTGGGGCCACGCGCCCTTCCCTGGCCGTGGTCTCGAGCGGGCACGCTGGGAGCAGCCGGGAGGGGTGTAAATCACCGCTGGGGCTGGGCGTGCCCGCTGCAGAAAAGCAGGCCCTTCTGCGGTGGCGGGTGCACGGCTGAGTCTGTGTCAGGGGGCGGGGGGGCTGCAGGTGATCCCCCCCCCCCCGCCACCTCCGTGCAGCCAGGGGCCCGCGCTCCCCACTGGCAGGCAGCCCCGGAGTGTGCCCCTTGTCCACGTCGCCGCGCCTGCCCTGCAGAGGCGTGGGGCTGACGCAAGCAGCTGTGGGGAAACCATGGGGAGCCTTGGCCAGGGGTGCCATGGGGGGGGGCACCTGCCCCCTGATTTTCAGGTAGCACAGCTTCTCCAGGAGCGGGGTTCTCCAGCTGCGGCTCCCAGTGCTAGGGACTTGGGAGTGGGCCAGGCAAGTAAGGGGTCAGTTGGGGTGTGAGGGGGAAGCAGAGGGACCCCAGTGGAATGGGGGAGGAGAGCTCCCCAGTGGTAGAACGGGGTTTTTTGGAGCCTGGGGGTGGGGGGGGCTGTGGGATGGGAAAGGGGAGTCAATCTCCAGGGGAAGGGAGAGATGAGGGCATAGGGCTGAGGGGGAACGGTCCATGGGACAAGGATCCTGATGAGGGAGGGGAAGCTGAGGAAGCGTGGGGGGGCTAGGAGTAGCTATGTGGGTCTTGGGGTGTGTTTGCCCACTGAGAAGCAGGGAGCCCCCTCACCTCTGCCTGGGAAGAGACTGGGACAGATCCCACTATGCTAATGCGTTCTCTGTGCCATCAGCTCTCTCTGCCTTACCCCCAGCTCCCGTGTTTCCGGGTAACCTGCACCCTGAGCCTGCAGCAAGGATCCACGTGGGCACAGGGGTTTCTGTCTCTCTCTGCTCCTGGGGGGTTGTCTGTCTCGTTACAGACAGACTGGCTGACAGGGATTTTGCAATAAATTACCAAAGTAGTTGAAAGTGAGGGGATGATATGGGATTTGGGGGGTGGGATAGCTCAGTGGTTTGAGCATTGCCTGCTAAACCCAGGGTTGTGAGTTCAATCCTTCAGGGGGCCCTTTAGGGATAGGGGGCAAAAATTGGGGATTGGTCCTGCATTGAGCAGGGGGTTGGACTAGGAGACCTCCCTTCCAACTCTGATATTCTACAATTCTAAGAAAATGCACAGGGTTTTTAAATGTTGTGCACAGAACTTTTTGGTTTTTTGGTGCAGAATTCCCCCCAGAGCAGGGAGCCTGGCACCATCTCGCCGAGCTGCCCCAGCAGCATTCTCTGCTGTTGCTTCCAGCCCTGGATCTTAAAGCAATTAACACAGGTTAATTAGTGGACCCTGACAAACCTTTCCTTCCCTGGGGAAACTGAGTCAAGCAAACTCAATGCTATTATACAGTGAGGGAAACTGAGGCAGAAAGAGGTGAAATCTGTGCAGGACAGCTGGGGATAGAACCCAGTAGCCCTGGGTCCTAGAGCCCCCTTGCTCTAACCATTAGATTCCTTTCCCCTCCCAGAACTGTGAGAGAACCCAGGAGTCCTGGCTCCCAGCTGGCCCCTGCTCTAACCACTTGACATCACTCTCCTCCCAGAGCCAGGGATAGATCACAGGAGTCCAGGCTCCCAACCCCACCTGCTCTAACCACTAGACTCCCCTCCCCTCGCCGAACTGAGGAGCGAACCCAGAAGTTCTGGCTCCCAGGCCCCCCTGCTTTCAGCCAGGTGACCTGTGAAATCCGGGGTGTGGCCGATTCTCCAGTTCCCACCCACCCGCCCCATGTTTATACCAGGCCCACGCCACAGGTGTGTTGGGTTGAGGTTATATGATGCCAGCCAAGGTGGCAGAACCTGGGTGAAGGGTGGGAATCTGGGGGGAACGTGGGCAGGGGCAGAGGAGACACTAAAGGGCAAATCTAATGAACGTCCTAGATGCCTGTGTGCTAATGCACGAAGTATGGGGAGTCAACAGGAAGGGCTAGAGATCCCCGTGAAGAATCCCAATTACGACACACGGTGCATCACAATGACTCGGCAGGTTAACTCCCGTGACTGCAATATCGGTACAGAAGGGCACGGTTTACTCAGGCGGGCAGGGACAAAGGGAGAAGGGGTTGCTGGTATAGCCAAGGTGTCTGCACCTGCTCAGAGGCTGAGATGGGAATAGGAGACGGACTTGTTGAAAGTCTCCGGGTCGGGATAAAAGGGGTAACAACCCGGGGGGGAGGGGGGGGAACGCCATGGGAGGGTCAGCGACAGACCAGCTAACCAGGAAGAAGAGGTGGGTGAGGCTTTTTTAAACAACTCACAGAATCATGCAAAGCCCAGGCCGTGGTGGCAACGGGGGGGTTTCAACCACCCAGAGAACGGCTGGGAAAATAACACAGCTGGGCACAGATCTTGGAATGCATTGGAGACAGCTTTGGGGAAAGCAGCGAGGGGGAGGCGGTTCTGGATTTGGTTCTGACCCACAGGGAGGAACTGGTTGAGAATCTGCAGGTGGACGGCAGCCTGGGTGAAAGGGGTCAGGAAATGACAGAGCTCACGCTGCTAAGGAACGGGAGGAGGGAAAACAGCAGAGATCAGACAATGGACTTGGAGAAGGCCGACTTCAGTGAACTCAGCGAATTGGTGGTGAGATCCCGTGGGAAGCAAGTCTGAGGGCCACAGAGTTCAGGGCAGTTTTTAAAGAGACGTTATTAAGGGCACAAGAGCAAACTACCCTGCTGCGTAGGAAGGATGGCAAAAGACCACTCTGGCTTTCCAGGGGATCGTCAATGAGCTGAACCGCAGAAAAGAATCCTGCAAAAAGTGTAAATTAGGTCAGATTGCGAAGGGTGAACATAAACACACGACACATGTCGGGACAAAATGAGAAAGGCCAAGGCACAAAACGAGATTAAACCAGCTAGGGACAGCAAGGGCAACAAGAAAACATTCTGTGAATACGTGAAAAGCAAGAGGAAGACCAAGGATGGGACAGGTCTGTTACTCAGTGAGAATGGAAAGCCAGTAACAGAAAACGAAGCAATGGCTGAAGTGTAAAATGCTTTTTTTGTTTCCGTTTTCATCAGCCGACTACCATAGTGAACATCAGCGGACATGGGGCAGGATCTGAGGCTACAAGAGGGAAAGAGCGAGTTAAGAATTACTTAGATAAGTTCCATGTCTTCAAGTCGGCAGGGCCTGACGAAATCTGACCTCGGATACGTAAGGAACTGGCTGGCGAGATCTCTGAGCCACTAGCGATCTTGGTGATCTTCCAGAAAACACCATCCTGGCCACTATGGATGTAGAAGCCCTCTACGCCATCGTTCCACACAAAGATGGACTACAAGCCGTCGGGAACACTATCCCCGATAATGTCACAGCAAACCTGGTGGCTGAACTTTGTGACTTTGTCCTCACCCATAACAATTTTACATTTGGGGACAATGTATACCTTCAGATCAGCGGCACTGCTGTGGGTACCCGCATGGCCCCACAGTATGCCAACATTTTTATGACTGACTTAGAACAATGCTTCCTTAGCTCTCGTCCCCTAATGCCCCTACTCTACTTGCGCTATATTGATGACATCTTCATCATCTGGACCCATGGAAAAGAAGCCCTTGAGGAATTCCACCATGATTTCAACAATTTCCATCCCACCATCAACCTCAGCCGGGTCCAGTCCACACAAGAGATCCACTTCCTGGACACTACAGTGCTAATAAACAATGGTCACATAAACACCACCCTATACTGGAAACCTACTGACCACTATTCCTACCTACATGCCTCCAGCTTTCACCCAGACCACACCACACGATCCATCGTCTACAGCCAAGCTCTGCGATACAACCGCATTTGCTCCAACCCCTCAGACAGAGACAAACACCTACAAGATCTCTGTCAAGCATTCTTACAACTACAATACCCACCTGCGGAAGTGAAGAAACAGATTGATAGAGCCAGAAGAGTTCCCAGAAGTCACCTACTACAGGACAGGCCCAACAAAGAAAATAACAGAACGCCACTAGCCGTCACCTTCAGCCCCCAACTAAAACCTCTCCAACGCATCAAGGATCTACAGCCTATCCTGAAGGACGACCCATCACTCTCACAGATCTTGGGAGACAGGCCAGTCCTTGCCTACAGACAGCCCCCCAGCCTGAAGCAAATACTCACCAGCAACCGCACACCACACAACAGAACCACTAACCCAGGAACCTATCCTTGGAACAAAGCCCGTTGCCAACTGTGCCCACATATCTATTCAGGGGACACCATCACAGGGCCTAATCACATCAGCCACACTATCAGAGGCTCGTTCACCTGCACATCTACCAATGTGATCTATGCCATCATGTGCCAGCAATGCCCCTCTGCCATGTACATTGGCCAAACTGGACAGTCTCTACGCAAAAGAATAAATGGACACAAATCAGACGTCAAGAATTATAACATTCAAAAAGCAGTCGGAGAACACTTCAATCTCTCTGGTCACTCGATTACAGACCTAAAAGTTGCAATTATTCAACAAAAAAACTTCAAAAACAGACTCCAATGAGAAACAGCATACTGGAATTAATCTGCAAACTGGACACCATTAAATTAGGCTTGAATAGAGACTGGGAATGGATGGGTCATTACACAAACTAAAAACTATTTCCCCAGGCTAATTTCCCCCTACTGTTTCTCACACCTTCTTGTCAACTGTTTGAAATGAGCCATACTGATAATCACTACAAAAGTTTTTTTTTCTCCTGCTGATAATAGCCCCCCTTAACTGATCACTCTCATCATAGTGTGTATGGCAACCCCCATTGTTTCATGTTCTCTGTGTATATCGATCTTCCTACTGTATTTTCCACTGCATGTATCCGATGAAGTGGGCTTTAGCCCACAAAAGCTCATGCTCCAATAAATTGGTTAGTCTCTAAGGTGCCACAAGGACCCCTCGTTCTTTCTGCTGATACAGACGAACACCCGCCACCACTCTGAACCCTGTAGCGATTCTCTGTGAGAGCTCCTGGAGGACGGGAGAGATCCCAGAAGACTGGAAAAGGGCAAATATTGTACCTAGCTACAAAAAGGGGAATAAGGACAACCAGGGAATTCCAGACCAGTCGGTTTCACTTGGGGTGCGCAGAAAGATAATGGAGCAAATAATCACACAATCCATTTGTGTGCACCGAGAAGATAATCAGGTGATAAGTAACACTCGGCATGGATTTGTCAAGAACAAATCGTGTCAAACCAACCTCAGATCCTTCTTCGACAGGGTAACAAGCCTGGTGGATCGGGGGGAAGCAGTAGACGTGGTCTATCTTGACTTGAGTAAGGCTTTTGATACAGTCTCACATGACCTCCTCATAAACAAACCAGAGAAATCCAACCTAGATCAACCTACTCGAAGGTGGGTGCACACCTGGTTGGAAAACCGCTCCAGGGAGCAGGTGTGAGCGGTTCGCAGTCAAGCTGGAAGGACCCCTTGAGTGGGGTCCTGGAGGGATCTGTCCTGGGTCCGGTTCTGTTCAGTGATTTGGATAATGACATAGAGAACGCACTTATAAAGTCTGAGGACAACACCAGGGTGGGAGGGGTTGCAAGCTGTCACAGTCTCCCAGGCCCCGGGCTCTCTCAGCTCCGTACAGCCCCTGGGACGAACCCCCCAGTGTGACAGCCCTTCTTGGGGGTCACAATCTCTCATGGGGGTTAATGGGCTCCAGTGCCTCCTGGAAACGCATGTCTGAGCCTCCAGCAGCCTGGCTCTGCCGTGGGCCCCCTCAGGGAGTCCCCTCGCTCTGGACCCCCGGGACCCCCACCCCCAGAGGGAGCAGCACCCCCCGATCTCTAGCTGCAGGGACTCTCTGCCAGCATAAAACAGGAGGTTTATTGAATGTCTGGACCCAGCCCGGGCAGTTCTCGGGGCCCTCGGGCCTGGCCAGTCTCAGCACCATCCAACTGGCTCTGTCCCCGTCCCCATGGGCTCCGGCTGCTCCCTGTCCCCAGCCCAGCCCCTCCTTCCAGCCGAGCCCCCTAAATCCCCTCCCCACCAGCCCCTCCTCTGCCCTTTGTCTTCCATGCCAGGTAAACAGGCAGCCTGGGCCCCTCTCTGCGGTCCTTTGTTCGCCCCCGGCTGGACCCGGCTAGCTCCCAATCTCCAGACTCGTGTCTGGGGTCCTGGCTGCTAGGCGAGGTCACACCTGGTCCCCTGCAACCACAAACCCCCTCCCACCCCCTCGTTACACACACAGCACACAGGGAAACTGAGGCACACACAGTGTTCATGCAAAACACTAAGAAAATCCCTCACTTTGTCACACTAGCGCGCTGGAGGACAGGATTAAGATTCAAAATGATCTGGACAAACTGGAGAAATGGTCTGAAGTAAACAGGATGACAGTCAATAAGGACAAATGCAAAGTGCTCCACTTCGGAAGGTTGCATGCACACAGAATGGGAAATGAGCGCCTAGGAAGGAGTCCTGTGGAAAGGGATCTGGGGGTCAGAGTGGATCACAAGCTAAATGTGAGTCAACAGTGCAATGATGTGGCAAAACCAGAGGCCGTCCTTCTGGGATGTCTCATCAGGAGTGTTGTAAGCAAGACACGAGAAGTGATTCTTTAGCTCTGCTCAGCCCTGATGACGTCTCACCTGGAGTCTCGCGTCCAGTTCTGGGCACCACACGCGAGGAAAGATGTGGGCAAATCGGAGCGAGTCCAGGGATGAGCAATAAAAACGATGAATGGTCTGGAACGCATGGCCTACGAGGGCAGATTGAAATTAGTCAGGAGAAGAGAAGACGGGGGCGGGGGGACGACAGGATAACAATCTTTAAGTACCTAAAAAGTTAAGAGGAGGGTGGCAGATTGTTCTTGTGCACTGAGGCCAGGACAAGGAGCAGTGGGCTTACATGGCAGCGAGGCTGGTTTAGGTTGGACATTAGGAAAACGTTCCTACCTGCCAGGGGGGTTAAGCTCTGGGGTAAATTGCCCAGGGAGGTGGTGAGATCTCCATCACTGGAGGTTTTGCAGAACAGGTGGGACAGACACCGGCCGGGGTGGGCTGGGTAATACCTAGCCCTGCCTCGGTGCAGGGGACTGGACTGGATGGCCGAGCGAGGTCCCTTCCAGGCTGACATGTCTATGAGTGTCTGATTTCTCCCCCCCCCCAGCCTCCCCTGAGATAGCCAGTCGCCCACCTGGCGCAGGATTGGAGTCGGCACCCCCTCGAGGAGAAGGGCCCTGTGCCCGGGGAAAGGCTCCCAGGAGGGCAGGTGCCCGGAGTGGGTGGCAGGGGTGGCTTGGGGGCGGGGGGGGGGGGATTGTTTGTGGCTCTGCGTGGATCCCCCATCCCGCTGTGTGTCTCCCTGAACATCCAACTCCATTGAAATTAACTAGGGTGACCAGGTGTCCCAGTTTGACAGGGACAGTCCCGATTTTGGGGTCTTTTTCTAGGCTCCTATCACCCCCCACCCCATCCTGATTTTTCACACTTGCTGTTTGGTCACCCTAAAATTAACTGGCCCCCCAGGGGTGGGAGCCAACCCACGCCCTGGCTCGGAACGATCAGCCTGCTGCAAGGCAGGGAAACTGAGACACAAAGAGGGGAAAGGACCTGGCAGAACTGGAGAGAGAACCCAGGAATCCTGGCTCCGGCCCACCTCCTCTAACCCACGAGACCCCCTTCCCTTCCCTTCCCTTCCCTTCCCAGAGCCGGGGAGAGAACTCAGGTGTCTGGGCTCCCCCCTCCCCAACCCATTACCTCTCCCCAGCCACTCTACAAACAGCTCAGCTGCTTCCTGAAAAGCAGAAACCCGCAGGGTTGGAAGCAGGGGAGCCTAGAGATCTGGAGGAGGCCCCTGGCCGGCTGGTGACCAGGGCTTCCATAGCGAGAAGGGGGGACTCCGTTGGGGGCCAGGGGGTCCCTGAGAAGGCAGGTGAGGGAGAATCCTGCCTGCCACGACTGTCACCGCCCAAAAGGGCTGAAAGGGCAGAGTTCAGTGTAACTACACCGCAAGGGCAAAGGCCTGGTTAGACTGGTTGGGAGCCAGGACTCCTGGGTTCTCTAGAGATGAGCGCACACCGTTCAATCCCGTTGTCTGTGGGGTCCCTGGGGCCAGTCCTGGGACCGTGACGTGATCATTCCCTCCTGGCTGCGCCGTGGTTACCAGGCCTGTGGTGGCTCCGGGGCCGGGGAAGGGGGGTGATTTTGGGCCCCTGGGAGCAGGCTGGGGACGTGCCGTGGCAATAACATGGCTGGGGAACCGGAGCCGCTGGGTGTGAAGAGACGGGAACTCCTGCTGGGGGGTGATTCTCTCTGGGAGGGAGAGATTTACCAACCGGCAACTGATGCCATGGTGGAGGGAAAGGAATAGAACCCAGGAGTCCTGGCTCCCAGCCCCACCCCCCAGCTCCAACCGCTTTTAGATCTCCAGCCTGCCCTGTCCTCCCCGCCTCTGCCTCCGCCCCCTTCCTCCCCTCCTGCCCCCACCGTCTGGCATTTAAAGGACTCACCCCCCCCCAGCCTGGCACCAGCGCATCACCCAAGGCTCCAGCCACCAGCACGCTCCGGCCATGACCCTGAGACAGCATTGTACCTGCCGTGCCCAGGGCCAGGGGCTGCTCTTCCGGCAGGTGAGCTCCGGGCATGGGGGTTGGGAGCCAGGACTCCTGGGTTCTCTCCCCATCTCTGGGAGGGGAGTGGGGTCGAGTGGTTAGAGCAGAGGGGGCTGGGAGCCAGGACTCCTGGGTTCTCTCCCCATCTCTGGGAGGGGAGTGGGGTCGAGTGGTTAGAGCAGAGGGGGCTGGGAGCCAGGACTCCCGGGTTCTAGCCCCATCTCTGGGAGGGGAGAGGTGGCTGGTGGTGGGAGATGGGAGCCTAGACTCCTGGGTTTTCTCTGTGGGGCTCTGGGAAGGGAGTGGGGTCTAGTGGTTAGAGCGGGAGGGCTGGGAGCCAGGACTCCTGGGTTCTGTAGAGATAAGTGCATACAGTGCACTGGTGTTGGGTCCCTGGGGGCCAGCCCCGGGGCCGTGCCGTGATCATTCCCTCCTGGCTGCGCTGTGGTTACAAGGCCTGTGCGGGCTCCGGGGCAGGGGGTGTGTGATTTTAGGCCCAAGGGCGCAGGCTGGGAACCCAGTAACGTGGCTCGGTGCCGAGCAGGGGAGACGGAGCTGCTGGGTGTGAAGAGACGGTAACTCCTGCTGGGCTGTCAGGGGTGATTATATCTGGGAGGGAGAGATTTACCAACCGTCAACTGATGCCATGCTGGAGGGGGGAGGGAAAGGAATAGAACCCAGGAGTCCTGGCTCCCAGCCCCCTGCTCTAACTACTAGACCCCACTCTCCTGCCGGTGCTAACTGGATCTCCCCTCCACAGCTCTTTGAGCCCGTGAGCTGCACCTACACCTACCTGCTCGCGGATCTGAAGACCAAGGAAGCGGTTCTGATCGACCCGGTTCTGGAGACGGCCAAGCGGGACGTGAAGCTGGTGAAGGAGCTGGGCCTCAATTTACTGTACGCAGGTGAGAGCAGCTCCCATGGGATCTGGATGGGGACTGTCCTGTTGTGGAAGGGAATGGGGTCAGGGCCGTTCCCCTTTAAGGGGCGCTGGTTCAGATCCAGCCCCAAGGCAGGGACTGGCTGGCTCAGGGGGTGGAGAATGGGGAAAGGCCCCATGTCCCTCTAGAGGGCATCGGCCCCGATCCGGCCCCAGGGCAGGGACCGGCTGGCGGGGCGGGTGGGGAGCGGGTCAGGTTCCCATCTGTAAATCCCTGGTTCTGCTCCGCGCAGCCAACACCCACTGCCATGCAGACCACATCACGGGCACCGGGCTGCTGAAGACGATGCTCCCAGGCTGCCGCAGTGTGATCTCCCAGGACAGCGGGGCCTTGGCCGACATCCTCCTCCGCGAGGGCCACGCCCTGGAATTCGGGGCCT